TGGAAACCATGTGGCTGCTGTTTCACTGCTGGAAAGCTGATGGTTGTATTTTAAAATCCATGAGATTTGGAGTAAATGAGGAGAAATGGCTGCACAGCTCTGCCCAGCACAGCGGGGCTGAGCCCATCCGAGCCTCACCCAGCTGGCAAACCCTTTCCATTGGGCAGAGGGATGGCAGGAGCGGGGCTCCCCTCTCTGAGTCCTCCCCTGGACCTACCAGCACGCGGTCAAAGGCGGACGGGGTCCCTCCGCGCTGCACGTGGCCGAGGACGGTGACCCGCGTGTCAAAGCCCAGGCGTTGCACCACCAGCTGTGGGGAAGAGGGGACATCAAATGGGGACCCACCGGTGTCCGTGGGTGCCAGGCAGGTGCCGGGGCAGTCACTCACGTCCTTCACGTAGTTGGAGGAGATGGGTTTGCCGCTGCGGTCGATGGCGCCCTCGGCGATGATGATGATGTTGAGCCGCGAGCCCCGGCTGCGTGTCTGGCACGAGGGGAGGACAAACGGCCACCATGGCTCAGCCAAAACTCAGCTTGGACCGTGTGTGAACGCCCTCCCCTTCCCTCCATCTGTGCTGCCCCAGGGGTGGCTCTGGTCACGGGCAGCCGAGCCCCCAAGCCAGCGCTGCCCCTGGCACACAAGGGCTGGATTTGTGCTCGGCTGAGTGCCCCGGTTCACAGGGACAATGGCGGCAGCTCCCGAAGCTTCGCAGGGGCTGGGCACCGGCTGCAGGGCTCAGCCCGGGCCCCTGCAGGGACTCCCTGGGGGGAAGAGGGGATGGGATGGCAGGAACCCCCCCTCACCTCCCCGAGCCTCTCGCACATGAGGTCCTCCCAGCCATCCTCCGGAGGGGATTCGGGGATGAAGAGCCAGTCAGCACCCGAGGCCAAGCCGGACACCAGTGCCAGGTACCTGGGGGGACACGGCGGTGGCAGCACTGGCCCCAAAATGTGGCATCCCATCCCACCAATGGGCTTCCCCACCCACAGGGGCTTACCCGCAGTGGCGACCCATCACCTCCAGCACGAACGTCCGCTGGTGGCTGCAAGGACACGGGTGGGAAGAGAAGGAGATGGGTGGGAGTGACGGCCGGGGTGGTGCAGCCCCAGCCCCCAGCCCCGTCCCGCTCACCTCTGTGCCGTGGTGGTGATGGCATCGATGACCTCCATGATGCGGTGCAGCGCCGAGTCGGTGCCGATGGTCATGTCGGTGCCACAGAAGTCGTTGTCGATGGAGCCCACCAGCCCCACGATGTTCAGGCGGCAGTTCTTCTTCGCCACCTCCTCGCTGATCTGCCCTGGGTGGGTTCACAGCCACCACACCGGTCACTTTAGGGCACTGGAGCCCAGCCCTCCGTGGGATCACAGCACCGGGGTGACCCTGCAGACCTCACCACCCCCAAACGCCCTTGCCCAGTGGGGCTCACCCACCATCTCGGACCAGCTCCTCGAGCAGCCCAGCCCACTCGGAGCGGAAGATGTCAGCGCCGGTGAGGCTGCCGTCGCCGCCGATGACGCACAGGTTGGTGATGCTGTGCTCCACCAGGTTACGGGCGGCCCGGAGCCGACCCGCCCGCGTGGTGAACGCTTTGCAGCGGGCACTGCCGATCACCGTCCCGCCCTGGGGACAGAACGGGGCATGAGGTTTGTCACACACGTTTGGAAGGCTGGGATCTGGGGTCCCGTGGCCCCGTGGTGACCCTCACCAGCTGGATGATGTTGGAGACGCTGAGCCAGTTGGCTTGTTTGATGTTGTCACCGCCCTCCACCAGCCCCTCGTAGCCCTGTGGAGAAGCAGAGGGTGGAGGTGAAAGGTACCCCGGCACAGGGAGGGGGGTGGATCCACCCAGCCGTGATGGGGAGCAGGGGGAACCCCAACCTCATAGATGAGGAAGACCTTGGCTCCCACGTATATCCCCATGCGGGTGACAGCGCGGACAGCGGCGTTCATGCCTGGAAAAGTGATACGTGAGCTGGAGTATTCCCATGGGATCCTGCGCCCCATAGGGGATGGGATCCTATTGGTGATCCTGAGGTGTCCCTTTGAGCGGGGGAACCGCATGAGACCCTGCACCCCACAGGGAATGGGATCCTATCGGTGACCCTGAGGTGTCCCCTTGAGTGGGCGGGGAGCCACGTGGGCTGAGACCGGGGAAACTCAGCGCACAGCCGGGCCCGTGGCCGAGAAACTTCCCGGGAGCGAGCTGCTTATCCCGGGGGGTGGGGGACAGCGATGGGGACAGGGACGGACACACTCCCTCCGTGGGGCTCCCCCCGTGGGGCTCCTGCCCTCCCACCGGAGAGTGATGGGGACGGGGAAGCACCGGGGAGGGGGGTCCCCATCCGCCCGCCCCGGGAGCAGCGCGGGCCGCGGACTCCGGTCCCGGGCGGTCGCGGTCGCGGTCCCGGACACGCGGGGAGGCCGCGGGCCCGGCCCGAGCCCCCCGCCCCGCCCCGCCGGGCGCACCTTGCGCATCGCCGCCGCTGGTGAGGACGGCGATGGCCATGCCGGCCCCCGCCATCCGCAGCCGCTCCAGCTCCGCCGCCGCCATCGCTGCGCTCCCGGCACCGGCGCCGCCGCCGCGGACACGCCCCGGGACACGCAGGGACCGGGGACACGCCCCGGGACACGCCCCAGGACACGCCCCGGGACACGCAGGGACCGGGGACACGCCCCGGGACACGCCCCAGGACACGCCCCGGGACACGCACGGAGCCGGGACACGCCCCGGGACACGCACGGAGCCGGGACACGCCCCGGGACACGCCCCGGGACACGCCCCGGGACACGCCCCGGGACACGCCCCGCCCGCCGCCGCGGAGCGACAGGCGGGGTGATGACACGTCGCGCCGTGTCGCGACATGGTGAGCTATACATATCGTGCCGGACAGTGGGCACATGCCCCGCCGTCCCGGACCGCGCCATCCTGTGTCAGGTCCGTCCCACAGTCCTGAAGGAATTGTCTGATGGAGCTGCCCAGCCAGCTCTCCAGGATATTTGGAAGGTCCTGGCTGTCCTGTCAGGTGTCCAGGTGACTGGAAAAAAAACGGAGACCTTGTCCCCATCTTTAGAAAGAGTGGAAAGGAGGAGCCTGGGGAGAAGCCTGGGAAGCTGCCGCCCATCAGCCTCCCTGAGTGCCTGGGGAGATCCTGGGACAGACCCTCCTGGAAGCTCTGCCGGGACAGGATCGAGACAGCAGGGCTGCACCAAGGGCAAGTCCTGCCAAACCAACCCCCTGGCTTTCTCTGATGGGAGACTCCTTCAGGAGGGTCATAGGTGTGTTTTGTCTGGATTTCTATACAGCCTGGACACAATCCCACCCAACATCCTCCTGTCTGCATTGGCCAGAGCTGGATTCCATGGATGGAATCTGTTAGATGGATAAGGAATTGGCTGGATGTCACATCCAGAGGGTCAGTGGCTCAGAGTGGCCATCAGTGGCCAGTGGTGTCCCAGGGCTCTGTACTGGGAGCAGTGATATTCAAGATCTGCATCACTGACACAGACAGAGGGTTCGAGGCACCCTCAGCAGGTTTGCAGGTGACACCAGGCTGAGGGTGCAGTGACACTCCTGAAGGACAAGGGCATCCAGAGAGCCCTGGACAAGTTCCAGAAGTGACCCATGGGAATCTCATGATGTTTAACATCACTAAGGGCTGGTGCTGCCCCTGGGTCGGGACAGCCTGCAGGATCAATCCAGGCTGGGGATGAGCAGATGGAGCAGCCCCTGGAGAAGGACTTGGGCTGCAGGTGGGGAGGGCTGGCCCTGCCCCATCCCAGGACCCCCCCTGTGTGGGGCTGATCCCCCAGCATGGGCAGCAGGAAAGGGATTGGGATTCTGCCCCACTCAGGTGAGACCCCACCTGCAGAGCTGCCCCAGCCCTGGGGCCCAGCACAGGAAGGAGCTGGAGCTGCTGGAGAGAGTCCAGAGCAGGCACCAGGATGAGCAGAGGATGGAGCAGCTCTGCTGGGAGGAAAGGCTGGGAGAGCTGGGATTGTTCAGCCTGGAGAGGAGAAGCTCCGGGGTGACCTCACTGTGGCCTTCCAGTACCTGAAGGAGTCAACAAGGAAGATGGAGAGAGAATATTCCCAAGGGCCCTGAGAGAGGGAAATGGCTTCCTACTGCCAGAGGGCAAGGTTAGATGGGATACTGGGAAGAAATTTGCTGTGAAGGAGGTGAGGCTCTGGCACATGTTGCTCACGGAAGCTGTGGCTGCCCCATCCCTGGAAGTGTCCAAGACCAGGTTGGACAGGGCTTGGAGCTACCTGGGCTAGTGGGAGGTGTCCCTGCCCATGGCAGGGAGTGGAATGAGATGGGCTTTCAGATGCCTTTCCACCCAGAGCATTCCATGACAATATTCCATGCCATAACAGGCTGTGTGATGCCATTATGTGTCACCCCAGGCTGTGCTATGCTCTGCCAATGAGACGAGCTGGAGCTTTCACTAGAAATTTCACATTTTCAAATTTTAAATTTATAATCATTTTAGGTGCAATTAAAAAACAAGCCTGTGGAGGAAGCCCTGCCATGGATTTCTCATCCCCTCTACCCATCTCAGCTACCCTGAGTGTCACCCCTTGGCGGGGAGGGGTGTCCCGTTGCTGGATACCCTCCCCACACCAGGTGGGTGCAGTGCGGTGCTGGGAGGCTGCTCCCTCCAAATACTCCCCATTCCCTGGGAATGGTCCCCATCACCGTGTCCCCCTGGTCTCCCATATCCCCCAGGGGAGTGGGACAGGGCCCTTCCTAGCCAAGGGATGGGGAAACTGAGTCAGGTGCTGGCAGCTCGCCAGTTTCATCTGTGCCGGGGGTGAGCTTGGAGCCTCATCCTGCATCCTCAGGCGCCGCGGGGCCCGGCATATCCGGCAGGGAAGGGGTGCGGGTGGCTCGGGGTAAGGAAATGGGAGAGACCTGGCCGGAGTCCCGCTCTCCTCCTCCTCCAGCCCCACCTCCCCGGCCCGCTTAACATCCCACGGGCCGGCCGTGGGGCCAGCAGCGCGTCCCCAGAGCGGTGTCCGGGCTGAACTCCGTGCCGGGCCAGCCTTGGTGACAGCGGCGTGTCCCCAGAGCGGTGTCCGGGCTGAACTCCGTGCCGGGCCAGCCTTGGTGACAGCGGCGTGTCCCCAGAGCGGTGCTGTGCCCGCGATGCTGCGGCTGCTGCTGCTCAGCGGGGCCCTGGGCTGCGGGGCAGAGCAGGCGGGTAAGGCAGGGACGCGGCCGTGCTTGGGGACACTGGGGTTGCCTCGGGGCTCACGGGGCAGTGCGTGATGTCCCGCGTCTCCCGCAGCCCCGCTCGCCTTCACCATGCTCCAGCTGACCCGCGTCTACATGGGCAATTCCATGTTCCGGGGCAACGCCAGCCTGAATGGACAGCTCAGCCATCTCCTGGACGAGAATAATGTCACCCAGGTGCTCCCGCTGGAGCCTCCGGACGCCTGGGCCCGGCGGCAGAACGAGGTGATCGCCTACCTGAAGACCTTCAGGCAGCTGGTGCAGCTCTTCAACAAGGAGAGACCCACCAAATGTGAGTGGTACCCGGGGCAGGGGTGGGTGCCCCGGGAAAGAGGAGCCTCTTCCGCACTGCCAGGGCACGGGGGTGGCTCTCAGGGACAGATGGGCCAAGGGATGGGGACACGGCCATGTGCAAAACCTCTCCGTGGCAAAGGGAGCCCTTCTGTGGAACCGAGAATTTCGTACTCGGAGCACGCCCTGGGAACGGGATCGTGCTCAGCCTGTTGCTGCTCCTCAGGAAAAGGGCTGGGGGCTGCAGCCTGTGGGGTGGTGAGGTGTAGGAACCCTGTCTGCTCCCTGCCTGCTCCCTGCCTGCATCCCACCTGTATCCCACCTTTATCCCGCCTGCATCCCGCAGCTTGTGGGAGCTGTTCGTGCTCCAGCCCACTCTGCTCCACAAGTCCTGTGACCTCTGTTGCTCCTGCACGGAGTATGCTTCCCTTTCCTTTCCTTTTCTTTCATTTCCTTGGTTGCCCCCAAACTGGTTTTGCCCCAGCCCCACATTCCTGTACCCCTGGGGAGCCCGGTGTCACCGCGGGGTCTCTGGCATGACCCGCCCCACCTCTCCCGGTGTCCCTGTCCCGGTGTCTCGCTCCATCCGCGAGAGCCACGAGCATCTCTGTGCCCAAAACCTCCCTCTCTGTAAAACCGTGTGGAGATAAGGGAGGGAAAATAACCCTGGCCGCTGGAAATGGTCAAACCGAGGGGAAGCAAAGCTGTGGGTGGCACAAGGCTGAGGCTGTGCAAACTCAGTTTGCTGCTGGAGAGGGCCGCGGGATGCTGAGGGTGGGGGTGTGGTGACCCTGTCCCCTCCCTCTGTCCCCGCAGTCACACAGCACCTGCGCTGCCACCTCGGCTGCCTCCTCTACCCCAACGGCACAGCCCAGAGCTTCTACGAGGTGTCCCTCAACAAGACAGCGTTCCTCAGCTTCCATGTCCCCAACGCCACCTGGGAGCGGCGCTGGCCCGGCGAGCTCCCAGTGGCCACCTTCGCCCAGGAGCAGCTGATGAAATACCCCATAACCACGCAGGACCTGCAGTATTTCCTCAACACCACCTGTGTCAGCATCCTGCAGGCTCAGAGCACCAGGATAGGTCCGTGGTGGGGCCGGGACTGGGGACAGGGACACGGTGGCGTGGCCCAGTCGTCACCTCCACCATCCCTCTCGCCTCTTGCAGGAAAAGTCAGCGGCCGATCGCGCACTCCGCTGGTACTGGGGCTGGTCCTGGGAAGCCTGGCCCTGCTGGGCATGGCCATGGGCATCTTCCTGTGCACAGGAGGGAGCTGCTAGCGTGGGCAGCTGTCCCATGTCACCCCATGGACACAGGGAACGAACCCGTGCATCCATCACCACCCTGTGGAGGCAGGGGACAGACCCATCGTCTCCCTGTGGAGTCAGGGGATGGATCCATCATCTTCCCAAGGATCCAGCAACTCTCCGTGGATCCATCATCACCCTGGGGAGGCAGGGGCTGGATCCATCATCCCTGCATAGAGACAGAGGGTGGATCTGCCATCCTCCCATGGAAGCGGGGACCAAGCCCATCCCTCTCAAGGGATGCATGTCCCTTGTACCACAGGCTTTGCTCCCCAAGGACACTGGTGGCTTCCTGGTCCTGTCCCAGGCAACTGGCAGCCCCCAGCCCAGTGGACAGTCTTCATGTTGGACACTGAGACTCTGCACAGAAACACTGGGCATGGATGGAAAAATGGGGGGGGGAGCAGCATGGGGGGAAAGCAGCAGGAGAAACAGCCATGGAATGGTTAAAAGGATGGTGTTAAACCCTCATTTATCCCTGTTCCAGTGGGGATGGAGGGAGGATGTCACATCTTGTGTAATAAAACCACCCATCATTTCTCACCACAGCTTTGGATGCTCTTGTTCCCCTTGGCAGCACTGATGTGAGGCTGTGGATCCATCCTGGACCACCTGCTGGTGCTGGGTGGGCTCGTTGGTGTTGCCAGCCCTGGTGCCAGACCTTGAGTTCTGTGCTAAGTTTTCCAGGTCTCTGGAAAGACACTGGTGGTGTTTGCAGGAGGGTGTTGCACCTCCTGAGCTCATTTCAACCTTCTCCTAGCTTTGGTTTGACTCAATTAAGCAATTTTCTCAACGTTTTTCATTTCCTCGCTCAGTGTGAGGTGCTGAGGTCAAGTACACACAGCTGTAAAGGGACATTTTTTCTTTTCCACAATCCAAATCCAAGCTAAACACTCCACTTTGACTGTTTAAACTTTGATTGCATTGATAAGAAACTCTTGGCCACGTTTCCCTTTCACCCAGAAGGGGATTTTGAGCTCTCCTGTGCATCTCCACTGCTCTGGGGGCAGGAAGGGCTGGGGATGAGCCAGGAGCTGGCTGGGAACAGCACAGGAGAGAGGCTTTCCTGGGTTAGCTCCCAGCTCTTTCCTTTCTAAACACCCTGCGAGCAAGACAGGGTGGGATGAGAGAAGATGGAAAAAGAGATGAGGGACAGAAGGGATGCGAAGATGACCTCAGGGCTTGTCCTTGTGGAGGGATGGAGGTCTCCAAAGCCCACATCTCATCACCCTGGCCCCCAGCCACCCCCAGAGCAGCCCCCGCCTCCCCCGGGCTCCTGGGGCAGGGGCTGGGGCGCTCCCCACCCTTGGCGGGCTCCAAGAGGCCGGAGAATCCAAAACAACACGGCTGAGACACGGGAACGTCATCGCTCGGCCCTTGGAGCAGCGCCCTTGGCAGGAGCTGGGCGTGGGCCGAGCGCTCTGTGTCCCTGCCCAGGGACACCAGGGCAGTGCCCGAGGTCACACGTGCTGCATTGGCTGCCCAAAAGGGATTCAATCCCTTCCAGCTGGGAGAAACCGCTGCATTCCCAGCCCTGCTTTGAGTTTTGGGGTCGGTGCATCTTTGTTACCTGCACCACGGTCCCCAAGACTTGGAGTGATTCCCATTCCCAGTGCCCTTTCCCTGCAGCTCCTTGCTCAGGCTGGGATGGCTGAGGGTGGATGCTGTGGGATCCCCACAACTGTGATGGAGCGGGGATGGCACCCAGGACAGACCCAGGTGACAACCCTAGGTGGGAGGCCTGGAACAGCAAAGCTTTTTTTTTTTCTTTTTGCTGCAGAAATGTGTCATCCTTTGGACAGATGAGCAAGTCTGAGCTTCTCCACTTCACTCAGCTCTGGAAAAGCCTTTTTCCTGCCCCTGAGTCCCATGTGTGTCTGGAGAACATTCCAGAACAGAGCTGACTCTGCTGCTCCTCTTGAGTTTCCACAAGGGACTGGGCAGTGGGAATCTCCCAAAAGTTCAGAACCCTGAGGAACAGCCTCATCTCCATTGGTGTCCATGGGCAAGGCACCCAAACCTGGCACCTCCATCCCAAGGCACCTCCCTGGCAGTGACCAGCATCAGTGTCTGAACTGGACATGGTGACAAGCACAGAGGAGTTATGGTGGCAGCACTCACCTCCAAAACATAGTAGCCCCAAAATTTCTCTTGTTCACCCCAAACATCACAATTTGTTGCACCAACATTTCTCTTCCTCACTCCAAAACCCTCAAGTGCCTCAAGGGGGGGGCCACTGAAGCCTGGCTGGGTGTGGCAGTTGAGGACAGTGGCCTGGCTGCCTCAGAACTGGGAGCTGGGCTCCTGTTCTGCCATCACTCCAACACAGAGCAGTTTCCTGGCAGCCAGCAGCCACATTCATGGTCATCCTTTCCCAAATTTGGCCACTCTTCCACCCCGGATCGCAGCCTGGGACAGGCGCCAGTGTGTATTCCATCAGTGAGGGGTGGTTTCAATTTTCTCCTTGGAGGACTTTTGGGTTCTGCAGGAGGGTGAATGAACCCACACAGAAACGTCTGGCAGCTTTAACCAGCTCCCAGAGTGACCCATCCCTGTTATCTGCAGGGACAGCTGGGCAAGGCTTTGTTTTCCATGCATGGTTTCCATCAGCCCACCCCGCTGTCGCTGTCTTGGATAAGGGCTCAGATAAGATGCCCAAGCCTTGATCCTTGTTCCAGTGAGGTAATGCCCATGTGCCAGGAACCAGCTCCTTCCTTTCCTCAGCCCCATCCCATGGGGAACTTGGATGGGGTGGGCAGGTCACCCGGTTTCCTTATGGACATCAGATCCCTCTGCAAGGTCGGTATCTCCATGCGTGTCCTTTGGGAGCTGCTGTGCCTCAGGACAAAGGGCTGGATGGCTCCAGGAGCTCCAGCCAAAACCAATGATGGGCTCTGGTGCCTGCTGGGGGTGGGAGAGGGAAAACAAGTGGGGTTGATGGGATCCATCTGGCAGGAAGCAGGATTATCCCTGTAAACACCTCTTACGCACTCAGAGCCTGCACTGGTGTCATTGTGGCTTTTCGGGACTAAACAAACCCAAATTCTCAGAGGTCACAGTGTCACACGCACGGATGTTTTAATTCCTGACTGTGGGACACCTTTGTTAACCCCAGGGACTGCACTGGGGTGAGGGATCTGCTTCCTAGCGGCCTCCTGCTCCCACATGGAAGCGAGCAGCAACCTGGAAAAGCCTCCCAGCACGGGGAAGGGCGGCGCTGGCCACTCCCTCCTGGCAGGGCGGACGGTGCCCAGCGCTGCCCTCTTCCCTTCCTGCTCAGCTCCCAGGTCAGCCGGAGGAAACAGGAGAGAGAGAGCTGGCTGCTGGCCATGCAGGCGGGATGAAGGCAGAGGATACCACCCATCCCACACCTCTGCCCTGCCCCAGAGGGCTGTCCACTCCCTGGGGACTGCTCCGGAGCAAGCCAGGCTGCTCCACCAGCTCCTGCAAAGCAGGTGAGCAGGGATGGGGGCTCCTAGCTGGGAGGAATCATCACTTCACCTTCCATTCCCAGCTGGAGGCTCCCACTCGAAACCCACGTGTCCTCAGAGCAAACTTCTCCTGGCACCAGCCCCTTCTCCCTTCTTCCTCCACTGCCCAGCCCTAGAGCAGAAAGGTTCAGAGAGAGATAAAGACATGAAAAACAAGATTTTTCTTTGGAAAAACCCAAGCTTGCTCACACTGCGCTTTCAGAGAAGTTTCCCTGGAAAAATGGCTGTTTGGGAACAGTCATCCACTCCCCAGAGCTGGAAGCAGCCTTCAGTGTGACTGAAGCCATTGGGAGCAAAGCCCTCCTTCCAAGACCACCATACCAAGGGCTGAAACTCTTTGGAGCAGCCCCAAAACTTCGCCATCCAGTCTGGGATGGGGAACGTGGCTCTAGGTGCAGCCAGCCCAGGCTGTGGAGGGACAGAAGACAAGGATGAGGCTGCAGGGCATGATGGAAATGTGGATCTGACCCCTGTATTCCCTCCCATCATTAATCTGCTATGGAATCCTCATTCCATCTGCTCCTTTCCCTCCCCTGGAATGGGAGGGATCCACCAAAGGGTGGGAACACAGTGCTGATGGTGCTGATGACATCTAAAAGCCTGCCTGTGGTTGGCCCTGAAGGAACGCACACAGCCCCTGGGGGTGCTGGAAACCATTCCCTTTAGGAATAAACCAGGACCCCATTTCAGCCAGGCCTTCCCAAAGCAGCTGTTCATGGACTTCTGGGAGTGCATTCCAAGGACAAATGCTTTACTAGAATTGAACAACATGCCTTCATCTGAACCCTCACAATCCTCACCCTTCCAAGGAAATTTGTGTTTATTTGTTCTAGTTTGGGAATGGTGTTGCTTAGAAAGGACTGGAAATTCAAGCTGTGCATTACGGAATTCTCAGCCTGGAGGTTCAGTCAGGATCCTTGTTTGGTGCCAAACCAAGATGTGAACACCTAAACCTCGTGGGAAGCATTTCTATGGATAAAGGAGTCCATGTGTGCCATGACTCGCTCCCACCAGCTCCATGTCACTGGAGAAGGGGACAGAAATTGTCATGGACACCGAGAACCCTCTGCATCCCCAGTTGTTGGAGGAAAAAGATTCCATGATCCTAAAAAAAGCACATTGTGAGTGGGTCAGAACCAAAACCATTGGGAACATTTGAACAAGCACTGCTGTTGTTGCTGGGCAAAAGCCCTGGAAGCTTTGTGTGGAGGTGGGAAAGGCGTTGGATGATAAGTCTGAACACACCCTGCAGCAAGGGGGGAAAGGGTGGAAGGAAGCAGGGATGCTTGGTTGGAATTTGGGGCTTTTTTCCTGTTTTTCTCCTTTCTGGTGTGCAGAGCTGGGGCTCTGCAGCCATTGTTGTGTTCTCCAAAGAGTCTGGCCCCACAATGCAATAAAAACAAACCACAGGAAGGAAAGGAATTAGCAGGGAAAGGAAAAGCAGCAGTGGGAACAAGGACTCAGGCCCAAAATAAACCCGCTGGCTGCTGCTGGGGGTGCAGGTAGGAGAGGTTACACCTTCCCCTGGGGGAGAACTTGGAGCTTAGGGGTGAAATCCTGGCTTTTTGGGTTTATTGCTGCAGGTGAGCAGAGTTGCAAGGGGCTGGAATAACAGAAAACAGCCCCATGCACAGGGATATGGGAAGGAATTTCTTTGAAATCTGAAGTTTCCTAGAAACTTGGAACTAAGAGGGAGCACAGGCAGCACCTGGAAAAGACTGAGAATCATGGGCAGAGGAAGCAGCCTCAGCTGAGGTTACCACTTTATCCCTCTGGATTCTGAGGAGAAGCAGAGACCAAGGGTTTGGCATTGTGGGTTTGTCTCAGCTGCTCCCCAAGCCCCTGCTGTGCTCTGCCAA